CTGAACCGGGTTTCCCAATCTTCTTAGTTTAGCAAAGAACAAGAATTCAGGTCATAAACTCAGACCTAAAGAATGCAGCTTTTCCACCTGAATTACAGGTAATTCAGGCGCGCATGCACCCAAAGCTAAGGAAAGCATTTCTGCTTCTATTTTCTGGGTCAAAACTTAACAGATGATATATGTGTAGCTGGAAGCACAGAAAACAAACCAAACACAACATGCTTGGGACCCACCCTCACACCAACACTAATCTCAATAAACGGTCAGGAGAAGGAAAGCATCTTTGAAGCAGATAAACTTAAAGCAAGAAGGAAGGAACGCTTTCAATATCTTTCACCCACTAATGATTTCTCTCATTTGAAACCTTAAAGGGGTATCAAAAGTTTTCCAGATTTAAACTTTCAAGTTAATGAAACCTAACCCTTCAAGTCAGACATCCACTCTCCCCCCCCCCGCCAAGAATTTGAGCGCAAAAGCGACTAGTAATTTGAAAATTACTAGTCACTTTTGAACATCCTACCATAAAGCACATGAATAAGAATATAACTGCTCTCAAGTGCTTGTGGAAGAAAAAATGGCCAAGGCAGAGCATCATTGTAAAATAGACATTAGCCAAACTTCTATGCTAGTAGCATTTGCTTTCCCTCCACCACTCTTGAAAGTAAAGCGTACTTGGACAGTGAAAACAAAATAACAGAAAAAACTTGACACCTGATAGAAATACGTTTTCTCTGAGATGAGCTTTAGAACTCCAGGAGCAATGGGAGGAAGGGTGACCATCTGCAGTTTTCCAAAGGGGTTGTGGCCAGAGACTTTGTACCTCTTCATTCTGTCTTCTATCACAAGCGCCAGGGACTGGGAGTGGTTGATCACCTCCAAGAGCGTGGAGATGGACACATTTTGAACGTAGCAGTCATTCACGCAGCAGCAAATTGTCATTAAGGACTTCAGCCACAGAGGGAAGCTGGCATCACAACCTCAGAAGATAAGTGAGAAAAACATTTTGGAATAATCTAAAGGTTATGGTCCTATTTCCAAAATTCTTCAAGCAAGTCCACAGGACCAAAAGACAAAATGAAGTGCCCGAATACAACTCTGATTCTATCATAAAAATCCCTTACTTCAGAAGGGCTCTTTCCAAAGCAAGTCATGCTTTTTACCCTACTACTCCTAGCAGAAAGCTCTTGCAGGACCTCAGTAGCCCAATAATTACTGGATTTCTACTCTCAAGTTTGTTTATTCATAACTAGTTTTTACAGCTTGCTATTCTTCCGCTGTCATTGTCAAAAATAACGAGAAAGGTCTGCTGAGCCGAAGAGGCTCTTTAGGGTATCACTGAGGCATATCATTTCAATAACCAAGAAGCACTCAAGGAACTCATATGGCTAGCATCAAGTCAAGCCACCACAGCCTGTCCCAAATGAGGGATCAGATACAGTTTTATTAATGCCTGACTGGAGACATTCTCAAGTATGAGTTTATACCTCTGACTTCAAAGCCAAATGTTTTAACTGCTTTACCACTGCAACAGACTGAACGCTCTTCATTCTCCACATCAGACAACTTCTGTATTGTTCAAAAGATACTCAAACCAGTCCTTCATTATCAGAGGTTCTCTCCTTCGGCTGCAGACCTCACTGCCCTTTTTGGGCTGTGCAGTAGAAAATAATTCTGAAAATAAACTTCTGTAGATCCTAAGATGATATTCCAAAACCTCACAAAATTATGAAAGGAAGTATAGCTCCATTACCGACCATGCAGAAGGTACCGCAAATATGCAAAGAGTATCAATATCAAGCAGACAGCTCACGCGTACAGCTCATAAGCATATCATCACTTTACTAATGAAGACTGCAGAAATCCGTAGTGAGGTCAGAAGGAGAATCCAAGTTTCTAGTTTCCCACCTCTCCATTCCCTACAAACCTATCCTGTCAACCAGCCCTTAGGTCAATAACTGCTCCTCCTAAGGCTAATGAACTTGAATTCTCAGAACAGGCCCTCCAATTATACAGATTACTCTTGTATGTTAGCTTACACCTTTTCTTTCAACTCTGAGGATGTGTAGGGCTCCAGCCCCCCACCTACCACCCTTCTCCCTTCATAAAATCCCCTTTTTTGGATTTCCTGAAACTCCTGTACCTTACCAAAAGCTCCTCAGCTAGCAGGAAAGGAGGCAAGAAAGGCCAGAAAGCCTTTTTTCATTCCTTCAGCTACAACTTTTGGAGTGAATGCTTTCAAAAGAAAGCAAATTTAAAGTCTTGTGAAAAATCTTCCCTCAGCTCAAAGACAAAAAAACAAGCAAATTACCCAGACATGCTGATGTAGGTAAGTTTTGAATTCACATGCGGCTTGCCTGCAGCCCTAAAGGCACTACTGTTGGCCCTAGTCACATCTCTTGCAAGTAACTGAGCTCAGACTGCTATCATCCTCAGATGGTGAAGCTGTCCAGTGAAGGAATCTTTTCTTACCAGGAATCTGAAACAGAGAGAGATACAACTGTTCCATCTCCTCTTCCGAAAGATAGACTGGGAATGTGGTACAATCCAATAAAAGGTGGCAAGCGGCAGCAAAAGCTTCCTTGCAGTCTCCTCTAAGGGGTCCCAGGACAAGCATCGCTTGCTCCAAGTCCCATTCCTCTTCCTCCTTTTGCTTTTTGCTACCAGGGTTGTGGCTGGAAGAAATAGCATTTGAACTCTTGTGCTTGAACGGTGATCCTCGAACTGAGAACAAGTCTGAAAGCATTTGTTTAAACTGAGGTACAGTGATTTGCCTGGCTTCCCAGGGGCTCTTTTTCTTGCTAGCACTTTCAGGTAATCTGTAGCCATTCTCTTTTTTCTCTCTTCCACCTAGATGCACTGCAGAGATGCTTTCATTACTTGCTTCTTGCAACTGCACCCCAAAAATGTATTTACTGGAAAACTTGGCAATCAGCTCTTGGACACAATGCAAAGTCTTCTGAATGCTTCCTCCTTTTTTCCAGACATCGTCTCTCTCAAGGGTCACAGCTGGCAGCCCTAAGTGCTGAGAGAGCTCTGGGGAAGAGGCGCTTAGACCAATGCCGCTGTCTTCTGACTTCAGGGGAGGGAATGGAGTCTCATCCTCTTCCTGCAGCACAGACTTAGTCTCCAAGGTTATGTCCCCATTTTCCTTTTTCACTGGGCTCTGGAATAGAAACACAACTTTTAGTTAAGATGGCACTGCGGAGGTCATTTTAAAGAACATAGAACTGTAGCAGGCACAGGGGAACAGCAATGCAAGAAAACCCTGTGATATTGGTAATTTCTGGATCTAGATTATTTTTTAAAAATGACATATGGTTATTGATAAGCAGTTTAACTGTATTTAAAACTTAATGTATGTTTGTATAGTCCCCACACCTTGACTCAAACATCAACAGATTTGTAATCAACAGATAAGTAGCAAATGAAAGTGCTTCCTTAAAACTAGTCCATCACTAGGACAATATTGTTTATGTCTGATTATTTCCAGTCAGATGCATTCATTTTTTCTGCTGCAAACTTTGGGAAGGCTACGTTTATATAACTGCTTTATACCATCTATTCCTCGTCCCCTATCATGGTCTTCTGCACCCAAATAATACCACATTGTATTAAATGTTCATATGACTGGAAGCCTCACAAACCTCAACAGCTGTAAAGCTAGGCTTGATCTGGGAGCTTGAATCTTTAGAAATTAGCTGTTGCAGAGTGCCTTTTCAACACCAAAAAGGTCACATTCTTTCCAAGAGGTAGGACTATAGTCCCAGTTTTGGACAAGGCTAACTTATTTGAATTGTTGTGACAGTGAAGGAGTACAGAATTGTATATACAGTAAGATTTACAAGGCAGAAGAGAGCTCTGGAAGGCGCCACAAAAAAAAAAAGGTTTTGAAAAACCATTTATTGTTGCAGTTATCATCTAGGTGTAAGTTAGAACAGGAGGCTTAGCATTTTGAAATAAAATATGCCACTAAATTTTAAACATCTGTAAGTAGACGAGAAACACCTACCCCATTTCCACTGCCTGTCTCAATGTCCAAATAGGAAGGCGGCATTTGCACTTTGCTCAGCACCTTAAAGCAAGTCTTTAAGGCATGGGTGAGTTCTGGTAAACCTAGCATTTCCATGTTTTCCAGGAGAGACTGCACCATATAACTGAGCATCTGTGGAAGATACTGAGTTTGCACTTCAGAGTAGAGTTCCTAAAATAAATAAGCATTGTTTAAAGTACTTAAGTAGCTCATCAGAAATTTAATTACTATTCAGCTGCCTAGCGACATTGATTAATGAGTGATAAAATCACTTCATCAATGGTTAAGTTGTACAAACTTGCCTCAACATTATTCCTTCTTTCTTCATTCTACATGATGAACGCTGACCATCATGTAGATGAGCTGAACCATGCTCTAAAAAAAAATCTTATGATAGTCAGCCAGCTACTAAGAGACAACCCACCCCTCTACCTCATAAATTTTTTTACCTAAGGAGACAAACCTAAGGTTCCTTTACAGAACCACCATATTTTAAAAAGGCAAGCAATTTTTATTTTGCTAGGCAACTGCAAGGATAGTCATATACAAGTGAGCACATGAAGTCTGTAGAACATACCATGCACATGTGTATTGATGACAATTTGCCTGTTTCCATTTTAGGTAGTCACAATACGAATTACTTGTTCTTAAGTATCTAATAACTTCGAAGCAGCTACCTTCAGGTTGCCTTACCAAAGGAATCACGTCAAGCAGAAACACCAACAGCGTGCAGAGCTCTGAAACTGTAGGAGGAGTGCTAACGTTTTCAAGAGGATATCTCATCTTTGTGGATTTGTTTCTGGCATCGAGAGAAAAATTATTTTGCAAGCTTTTTTCCTGTCAAAATTATTGTTACAATAAAACAACTTCAGCCAAACCAGCACAAAACACTCAATAGCTAAGACCTCTGAAGTAAAGTAAAATGGTTCCTAATAGAGTGGGATAAAACATTCTGTCAAAACCACCTAAATTACAGCTTGCATGTGGGATTGCAATTTTCCAACTGAATTTATATAGACAATCTTGCTACTCAGAAGTATAATCCTCTCTCTTAAAAAGAGATAGAGAGATATCTCTTTACTTTTCCTCAAAAATATTTCTTTTTCCAAGGAAGACAAAAATACCTTCCTTTTCCACTTCTTCTCCCAAACCCTCCTCCCCTTCAACTACTATTTTGAAAGTAATTTTTTCTCAGTTTGCTAGTTCTCATGCAATTGTTTACCTGTTTGCGTTCTTGAATTATTTTAGGATGCAACATACATATCTAACATGTATCATGGTTGCACTTGTATTTAAATCCCTCAGAAAAATTTCTCTATTATCTTACACAGATAGTTCTTAAGCAACACATTTTTTGTGCACTGTCATTTGGTTACATAGTCACCTGAAACAATCTTCAAAACATCTGGTCATGTAATCCCACAGAAAATCTGTGCTCAAGGACGTGATCAACAAATTCACTGTTTTCACAATTTCTGAAGCATTTTTATTCTCTTTAATTGCACTGTGAGAAGAGGAAAAAAAAAAGTCAATGAAGATTCCAAAAGTATGTATACTACACTATTCTCTCTCCAATTCTAAAAAACTTTTTTACCCTCTCTCTACAGGATAAAAGATAGAATTGTTTTAATTCAAGGACTAAACCATTCTAGAATTACTAAATTTTGAGCATCTTTCTCCATGGCAAAGGAAACATAAACTTCAACTTTGAAAATCAGAAAACTAAGAGTTTTGCTACCAAACTGGTTCTTGGCCAGTATGATTGGATTTGTCAAAGTCAATGATATACCGCATACTTCATTCTCTTCTCTGCCAAAGACAGAAATCAAGCGTGTGCGGGGAAAAACGCCAGGAAAGTCATAGGAAACAGACTTCTATACAGAAAGAAGCTAAGCTTGCTAAAAGCTTAACTTCCCTTAAACTGGTTAGATTTTATTAAGTTATGCTTTATTAAAAATGATACAGTTTCAGTTAGCAGCTGCAAACTTGTGGTTATACCTTGAAAGGATGTTGCCACTTTGATTGTAGCTAAGTTTGAGATCAGAACCGAGTGCCTCTTTGCAGTATGAATAAAAGGCTCTAATCACTTCAAGGAACAAATCTCCAACAACCTGTGGCCCTACAATCGAAGGAAAATAAATTCCAGTAATTACACCAAAGTGATTGCGAGGCTGTTCAGTGACAAGTTTTATAGACTTAAATTAGAAATAACTAAAATAAAATCCCATGAATACTCAAGTATGGAAAGAACGTTTACATTTTTTTAAATGCCAAATTTTTAGAAACATCCTAGTTAAATAAACATTAAATATTTAGTTAGATAAAACTTTAAAATTGTAAAGTTTGTAATGGTTCATTTTTTAACTTTAAGGCATTATTTGGGAAGCAATAGCATTGATTCTACATTACATTTAAGACACTACAATAAGACCTTCATTGTTTTTAGTCACCTCAGCCACTTGTAAATGGGCATAATCACATGGTAAACCTGCAACTGACATGCCAAAAATAATCACCATGTCTGGATCCAGGAAGAAAACAAGTTTAAGATTTCCCAATATGCATTTAACATACTAGCCTGATTAAATTTTTTGAGATGCAGAAGCTGGAAAAGTCAGTAATTAAGGAAGTTTGGGTGACTAAAAATATTATAAATACATATTAACACAGAGTTAATTTTGAAGGGTTGGCACTTTTTTGATCTTTATCTGCAATTGTGTATAAGGAAGGTAAACAGTAAGCGTGTACAATACCCCAAACACGGAACCATAAAAAAAAAAAAGTGTATGAAGCATTCTGCTTCTAAAAATAGAAATTAAGCAACTAAAAGTAGCAGTAAAGGTCAAAGATTCTACCTTTTAGGAAAAAAAAAAAGTCCTTTTGCTAAATCCATTTTAAAAAGAAGCAAAAGTCATATTGGCTTAGGGCTAAAGAATTTGCATTTTTTGTGCTGGATGGAAAAGAAGGAATAAAGCCTTACGATGTAATTCTGCAAAATATTCCTTATTTGGAGTTCAGACTAACACTGCTTCTTAGCAAAATAAAACAAAGGATAGTATCTGCCATCTACTTTGTAAATTAGGTTATAAATTATTTGATTAATCTAACGACGTTCGTCAACTGTTCCTCCAGCATTTTTGTCAGGAAACAAAAGTGCTTTATATGAGGCTTTAATTGTGACTCTTTTTAGATGTTTTTAAAAAAGTAGCAGTGCTTTTTAAGTTGACTTCTGGTCTCTACAGTCTTGCTATTATGTGTGTCCTTTCACGCTAGATCTAGCAGCTGAAGGAGGCATTAGTACTACTGTCTTAGAAACAGACTTAACAACCGCTTTGATTGCTTCTGCCAAGGTAGCATTCATTCGTTAGGTAAATAATACTGAATCCTCCTTCTTCCTGGCAGTCCTTTCATAATTTTTCAACAGGCGAAGAAGGACTTTCCTGATTCATGAAAGAAAATAGTCTTGCCAGACTTGGAAGCCTGTTAAACCAACTACCACTAGAGCATTTAGTATCAGTTACAGGAGTTTTATTCATGCTATAGACTACTGGCGTAGTGAATGGTAAATTCTGCCCCTCGCAGGATACTTATTTGAGCTAAGCCTTGGGGTAGTCAGTCAGACTGTATTAGCTTCTAACAACTACCAGTTAACATGCTTCTTGTATCTGTCAGAATCATATAAAACAATTAAAAAAAAACCCTATCTGTATAACGGTCTCATAGAATACTGCTTAAATCCCTCAAATTTGTCAAGTCGCTTTGGCCTTTTTTTCTGTTGTTGTTTTTAAAACAACCATAGAAAGGAGTACTCGCCCGTTAAAAAAACGGCTGGCAGGACCTCACCCCTGTGGGGCTGGGGACTTCATGTACACAACAGGACAGACATGTGACAGCCAGGGAAAGAGGGGAATATTCTTCACGGCTCAGGCATAGTGACTCAGACTATAGCTTCCATAGCTATAGATCACTGCAGGCCTGCAGCACCACTGACAGAAGCGCTCCTACCTCCTCACACTCATAACAGGTTATTTCCTGCTGCAGCAACTGCAGGTAAATGGCTCTGCCCATTTTGGCAGCAATTACACCATAACCTGCCTGTGTGACTACAGCGTCTGGAAAAGCAACATGGTCGTAAGAGTCTGATGCAAGTGTACAGGAAGGCCTGCAGGCACAGCCAAGAGCTGGAAACAAAACCAGGAAAGCACTGGTAGTTTTCTGGATAGAATCCTGCTTTCAAGGCAAGAGGGAAAAAGAAAAAAAAAAAAAACCTGACAGGATATTAGAGATCAGGCTTCATGGAATGAATTGAGCAGAATACTGAGGCTAGAGAAGAAGTGGTTCTAACTGGACTGCTGGAGTGCAGTTCTGGGCACAAAAGTGTCATCTGCACTGGGATACATTCATGCTACACAGGTCAGTGCTCTGCAGAAAAGCCAGAGCTAATCTGCAGGGTGCTAGCTACAAAGCCAACTCATTTGCACAACTCAGGCTGGACACTGCTCTGAACTGCTGTCACTCCTTCTGGAGAGACAGGAAGGAAAACAGTCCCCTTGCACAGTAATATACAACACACATTGAGAATTAGGAAGAACTCTGCATGGTGTTGTCTGAACCCTACTTCCAAAGGTAACGAATATCAAGTCATCATTATAACAGTCTTTAATAGTCACAACAGAAGTGACAGATAACATTACCTATTTCAGGTTTGTCAAGGAGACTGATTAGGATGCGGAAAGGTTTCAAATAAGCTTGATGCCGTTCGTCCATATCAGACTCTGAGAATTTCTGATGTAATATTTCAATTAAGCTCTAATAAAAAGAAAACATCAAAATGTTATATGAAGAAGACATATTGCCATTTTATTAACAGCTGAAGTGTTCCTGAGCTTGCTTCTTTTGTTTAGTACCAGCTACAATGAAACTTCAACTATCCAAACTTGGTAGACAAATCAATGACCTCTCTCAAGATACACTCAAGAGTAGATCTTCCTCAGAAAAGCATTTTTAAATAATTCATGCAGTCCCTCAGCAATGCTACTCTTTGGCATCATTAGATTCCATTTATATTGAAAGTACATATAACAACGGGACAGATGCAGCACTGAGTCAGCATTGAGCAAGGAATCTGTCTTTAGGGAGAGAAAGCTCTGAAGGACAAACCAAGCACAGCGTACAGTGAACAATTAGACATAGTTTGCTCTAAAGTTTACAGAATCACAGAATGGTTGAGGTTGGAAGGGACCTCTGGAGATCATCTAGTCCAACCCCCCTGCTCCAGCTGGGTCACCTAGAACATGTTGCCCAGGACCCTGTCCAGACGGGTTTTGAATATCTCCAGCAAAGGAGACTCCACGACCTCTCTGGGCAACCTGTGCCAGTGCTCTGTCACCCTCACAGGGAAGAAGTTTTTTCTCAGGTTTAGGTGGAACTTCCTGTGATTCAGTTTGTGCCTATTGCCTCTTGTCCTGTCACTGGGCACCACGGAGAAGAGGCTGGGCTCATTCTTCTTTAAGTCCCCCTTCCGACACT